TCTCTCAAAAATCTGTCAAAAGTCCCCCAAATCTATCAAAATTCCCCAACATCTGTCAAAAACGTCAAAATTTACCCCAAATCTGTCAAAACTTCCCCACATGTCAAAAATTACCCAAATCTGTGAAAATCGGCCATACACCTAACTAAAGACGCACAGAGACCCAGGTATCAGTGAGAGCGAGGCATGTGGGCGGGCGACCGACTCTTATTGTCAGCAGCCAGCCCCTGTAATTTGCATATTAGTGGTGATTGTAACCGATTAGACGGGATTGTGATGATTACTGGTGATTGGTATGATTAGGCGCCAGATTAGGAGCGATTATGAGCATTAGGGTTGAGAGGAATGGTCTATGGTGTGTGTGTGTGTGTGTGTGTGTGTGTGTGTGTGTGTACCACGACATAGAACTACTATATGTATCATCAAATACATCTGTTCAACACGATAAATTGAACATCTCTTGTCACATCTTCTACACATTCCTTTTCACATCTCTGGACTTCTCTGTTATCATTGTTATCATTCTTTCTCGTCTTGGGCCGATACTCAACATTCACCTCTTCTTAACACCTTCTCTCTTCTCAGTCTTCTCCTCCAACTCCCTCATATGTCTCTGTGTTTACGTAGGAATTTCTATCATTAACTGAGGATCCTATATAATAATTCTTCTTCCAGCATATGTTTCTATTCGCCTACTTCCGTTTCTGTTCATTACTGGTATTCTAACTTCCCGTAGGCTAGTTTAGTCTTTAAATTTAGCATTACTATTACTTACTCTCCTATTAAAGCTTTAAATTGTGTTATTCAAGTCTTTCCAAACCCCGCCAATCTTTCCTCTTCTCCTTTTCTTATTTTCTGCTGCAGTTACACTCAAAATAACCCATCCACCATTCCCATATTATAATTAAATCATTAATATTCTAGTAGTGACTATTTTATCTACTAGCAAGTGTCTCTATATCCAATATTTTAACAACAATAACAAATCAGGTCATCTTTTCAAAAACACTATTGACTTTACGCCCTTCACTTGTCCCCAGCAAACACCTCCTTCACATTTCAACTTTGTTCCATTGAAAACCACGATATCCAGGTTCTTTTGCATTCATATTCTTATCACCTTCGTTATATCTATACACAATAAACATCTAAGTTTTATTTTCCTGCTCGGTGTTGGTGCTCACTGCCTAACAAAACGATCTTCTCTCCCCCACAGGCGTTGAGCGGGTTCCTCATGATGCTGACTCAGGGAGGGAAGCTGCTGTACATCTCAGACAACGCAGCCGAGTACCTGGGCCACTTATGGTGAGAGAGAGAGAGAGAGAGAGAGAGAGAGAGAGAGAGAGAGAGAGAGAGAGAGAGAGAGAGAGTAAACATGAACACCCAAACAGTATGATGAATGACACACACACACACACACACACACACACACACACACACACACACACACACACACACACACACACACCGTGATAAGTTTAACCACCCCCCTGACACCTCGCCCGCTCATTGTGCAGTGAAGGAACAAGGTAACAAGTACATGGGTGTGGTCACGTCGTCCATAATACCTGTCTGTTTACCTGCCACTAATTATCGCGTTACCTTCACACCTGTACTGCGGGATGATGGTGGTGTGGTGTTTAAGGGTGGGATGGTGGTAGTGTAGTGTGGTGGGGGTATGGTGTGTGGTGTGGGATGTGTGGTGTTGTGGGGATGGGGTGGTGTGTAGGGGTGTGGGTGTGGTGGGGAGTGTGGTGGGGTGGTGGGGGTTTGTGGGAGTGGGGTGTGGTAGGGGTGTGGTGGTGGGAGGTAGGTGGTGGGTGGGTGTGGTGGGGGGGGATGTGGTGGGGGTGTGTGAGTACCAATATTCTTCATAGATGTTAAATAATATATTGTTTAGTAACGTATAAGTTAACTGCTGGGAGAACTACTATCTTATTTCACACACACACACACACACACACACACACACACTCGGGTAAGCATCTACAGCTTATTGAAATCACTGTATCATTCTTCTACACCCTCCCCCCCCCCCCCCCCCCACTCGTCCGCCTGACCGCGCACCAACACAGCAACAGGTGTCAACACATGTGGTGTGGCCGCCGCACCTGCACCTCCGAGTGTGTGGCCTCGGGTGTGGCCGCGGTGGCCAAATTAGCATACGAAAGACGCCGCGTGCGGTGTGTGCGTCAGGGAGGAGAGGATGCGGACACTGTAGTACACACTGTAGTACACACTGTTGTCATCACCTAACAGGTTCTTGTTGTTATATGAGTACTGGGTATAACACATGATGAAAGCTGGCGACACAGTGTGACACTATTAACACAGTGTGACACTATTAACACAGTGTGACACTATTAACACAGTGTGACACTATTAACACAGTGTGACACTATTAGCACACGATGTACCACACGAGAACCTCATGATCCACGGGGACAGTGTGTACCAGTGTTCGTATTAACACAGTATTAACACACAGTATTAACACACCACAGGAGGACCTCCTCATACACGGGGACAGTGTGTACGAGTATTAGCACACAGTATTAACACACAGTATTAACACACAGTATTAACACACAGTATTAACACACAGTATTAACACACCACAGGAGGACCTCCTCATACACGGGGACAGTGTGTACGAGTATTAACACAGTATTAACACACAGTATTAACACACAGTATTAACACACCACAGGAGGACCTCCTCATACACGGGGACAGTGTGTACGACATTATAGACAAGCAGGACCACGCGGCGGTACAGGCGGAGCTCGTCAGGACAGGTCACACGTCCCAACACCACCATGACGATGACCGACTCTTCCTCTGTCGCATGAACGTGTCCAGGAACGCCCGAAGACAGATGAGGTTCGGCGACCAGAAGGTGAGAACGATTGTTTATGTTACGTCAACCTTGGTGACCAGACAAACGTTTGTTTATGTTACGCCAACCTTGGTGACCAGACAAACGTTTGTTTATGTTACGTCAACCTTGGTGACCAGACAAACGTTTGTTTGTTACGTCAACCTTGGTGACCAGACAAACGTTTGTTAATGTTACGTCAACCTTGGTGACCAGACAAACGTTTGTTAATGTTACGTCAACCTTGGTGACCAGACAAACGTTTGTTTATGTTACGTCAACCTTGGTGACCAGACAAACGTTTGTTTGGTCCCCGTCAACCTTGGTGACCAGACAAACGTTCTTTTATGTTACGTCAACGCTTGGTGACCGGAACAAACGTTTGTTAATATACGTCAACGCCAGTGACCGAACAAACGTTGTTTATGTTACGTCAACTTGAAGTGACCAGACAAACGTTTGTTTTAGTTACGTCAACGCCCGGTGACCAGACAAACGTTTGTTGTATTACGTCAACCTTGGTGACCAGACAAACGTTTGTTTATGTTACGTCAACCTTGGTGACCAGACAAACGTTTGTTTATGTTACGTCAACCTTGGTGACCAGACAAACGTTTGTTTATGTTACGTCAACCTTGGTGACCAGACAAACGTTTGTTTATGTTACGTCAACCTTGGTGACCAGACAAACGTTTGTTTATGTTACGTCAACCTTGGTGACCAGACAAACGTTTGTTTGTTACGTCAACCTTGGTGACCAGACAAACGTTTGTTTATGTTACGTCAACCTTGGTGACCAGACAAACGTTTGTTTATGTTACACGTCAGCCTTGGTGACCAGACAAACGTTGTTTATGTTGCATCGGCAGCCAGTGACCAGACAAACGTTTGTTTGTTACGTCGCCTTAGTGACCAGACAAACGTTGTTGTCTACATCAACGGTGACCAGACAAACGTTTGTTTATGTTACGCATCCAGCCTTGATGACCAGACAAACGTTTGTTTATGTTACGTCAACCTTGGTGACCAGACAAACATTTGTTTATATTACGTCAACCTTGGTGACCAGACAAACATTTGTTTATGTTACGTCAACCTTGGTGACCAGACAAACGTTTGTTTGTTACGTCAACCTTGGTGACCAGACAAACGTTTGTTTATGTTACGTCAACCTTGGTGACCAGACAAACGTTTGTTTATGTTACGTCAACCTTGGTGACCAGACAAACGTTTGTTAATGTTACGTCAACCTTGGTGGCCAGACAAACGTTTGTTTATTGTTGTATATAACAAATTAAACCATCTGCCAGGTGGTGTAATACTAACAGGTGTACCATCTGCCAGGTGGTGTAATACTAATAGGTGTACCATCTGCCAGGTGGTGTAATACTAACAGGTGTGCCATCTGCCAGGTGGTGTAATACTAACAGGTGTACCATCTGCCAGGTGGTGTAATACTAACAGGTGTGCCATCTGCCAGGTGGTGTAATACTAACAGGTGTACCATCTGCCAGGTGGTGTAATACTAACAAGTGTACCATCTGCCAGGTGGTGCTGGTGGCAGGACATTACCTGTCGTACCTGCCGCTGTGCTCCAGGAACGAGCCAGTGTTCCTCGCCCACTGTACGCCCGTCGCCATGCCAGAGACCCGAGAGAGCGTCGTGCAGGGCGCCACCAACGTCTTCACCTCCGTCCACACCCTCGACATGAAGTTCATCAACCTCGACAGAAAGTGAGTACCTCTTTGTTCCTCACTGTCATCATCTTCACCCTCCTGTTCACTATCACTGTTCGCCCTCCTGTTCACTATCACTGTTCACCCTCCTGTTCACTATCACTGTTCACCCTCCTGTTCACTATCACTGTCTGTCGTGTTCACTCTCACATGTTCACTGTCAACAGGTCAGGTTTGTAAGTCACATCTACTATAACACACACCTGTTGGAGGACACATGTATCTGTGATGTAGGTGTCAGTGAGGGTGTAGGTTCGTGTGTACGTGTAGTGTAAACGAACACACTATAGTACACGACACAATGGTGGTGCGTGTCGGAGGGTCAACCACGTCTACTGTCTACTGTCTACACGTCCATCCGTCCGTCGTAGAGGTACTTGTTCTTAGTGAATAAGTTCTTGTTCGTGATAAAAAAAAATCCGTTTATGGTACCTTTGTCGTAGTGCCATGTGTAGTGTCAGCCATGTGTAGTGTCAGCCATGTGTAGTGTCACCCATGTGTAGTGTCACCCATGTGTAGTGTCAGCCATGTGTAGTGTCAGCTATGTGTAGTGTCAGCTATGTGTAGTGTCAGCCATGTGAAGTGTCAGCCATGTGTAGTGTCTGGCTATGTGTAGTGTCAGCCATGTGTGAGTGTCAGCCATGTGTAGTGTCAGCCATGTGTAGTGTCAGCCATGTGTAGTGTCATGTATGTGTAATGACAACTATGTGTAGTGTCAGCCATGTGTAGTGTCAACTATGTGTAGTGTCAGCCGTGTAGTGTCAGCCATGTGAGTGTCATGCATGTGTAGTGTCAGCTATGTGTAGTGTCAGCAAATGATGATGTCAGCCGTGTGCTTAGTGTCAGCCATGTGTAGTGTGTCATGCATGTGTAGTATCATATGTGTAGTATCAGCCATGTGTAGTGTCAGCCATGTGTAGTGACAGCTATGTGTAGTGTCAGCCATGTGTAGTGTCAGCTATGTGTAGTGTCAGCCGTGTGTAGTGTCAGCCATGTGAAGTGTCAGCCATGTGAAGTGTCAGCCATGTGAAGTGTCAGCCATGCATGTACAATAATGAGTTAGTGACACCTTTATAAACAAGGTCAATATTAATGATACCTGCAGAATAATTAGGTGTGTGTATGGGGCAGGTGTGACAGGTGTGCGGGGTAGGTGTGGCAGGTGTGTGTGGTAGGTGTGGCAGGTGTGTGTATGTAGTAGGTGTGGTAGGGAGGTGGTAAGTATGTGGTAGGTGTGCAGTAGGTAGGTGGTAAGTGTGTGGTAGGCTTGGTAGGGAGGTGGTGGGTTTGGTGGGTGTGTGGTAGGAGTGGTAGGTGTGTGGTAGGTGTGTGGTAGGCTTAGTAGGTGTGTAGTAGGCGTGTGTGTGTGGTAAGGAGGTGGTGAGGTGTGTGGTAGGCGTGGCAGGTGTGTGTGGGTGTGTGGTAGGTGTGGTAGGTGTGGGTGTGTGGTGGGTGTGGTAGGTGCGTAAGGAGGTTGGGTGTGTGGTAGGTGTGGTAGGTGTGGTAAGGAGGTGGTAGGTGTGTGGTGGGTGTGTGGGCAGGTGTGTGGTGTGTGAGCGATGGGGTCACAAGACGCACCAGCTGTTATCTCACACACACCTCCACCTGTTGACGTCTTAATGATTAGCTGTGTTGACCCTCCTCCTCCTTCCTCCCTCTTCTACTCCCTCCTCCCCTTCCTCCTCTTCTACCCCCCTCCTCCCCTCCTTCCTTCCTCCTCTTCTACCCCCTCCTCCTCCCTTCCCTCCCTCTTCTTCACCCCCTCCTCCCTCCCTTCCCTCCTCTACCCCCTCCTCCCTCCCTTCCTTCCCTCCCTCTTCCCCCTCTCCCTCCTTCCTTCTCCCCCTCCCCCCCTCTCTCCCTACTACCATTACGCCGACCATTGTCATCGTTACCAACACTAACCTATTCACTGTTACCATACTAAATACAACCACCACACCACCGCCACACCACACACACCACCACACCACCACACACCACACACACACCACCACACACACCACCACACACCACCACACACACACACACACACACACACACCACCACACACCACCACACACACACACACACACCCACACACACACACACCACCACACACACACACACCATCACACCACCACACATTGGGTCACGCTCGTGGTGTTATCATAAATCAGTCTGGGGCAACAATGGAGAGTTTGCTAATAAAAGTTTTGTTCTTAGCGGCCAGGTCGTGCTGCAGCGTGGGACCTGGTGATGGCCCACAGGTGCTGGAGCTACAGGTGTTGTGGTGACTTACAGGTGTTGTGAGCCTACAGGTGTTGTGGTGACTTAGATGTTGTGTGTGTCCACGGGTGCTGACCTATAGGTGTTGTGGTGACTTACAGGTGTTGTGGTGACCTACAGGTGTTGTGGTGACCTACGGTGCTGACCTACAGGTGTTGTGATGACTTACAGGTGTTGTGGTGACCTACAGGTGTTGTGGTGACCTACAGGTGTTGTGGCTTACAGATGTTGTGGTGTCCTACAGGTGCTGACCTATAGGTGTTGTGGTGACTTACAGGTGGTGACCTACAGGTGTTGTGGTGACCACAGGTGCTGACCTACAGGTGTTGTGGATGACTTACAGGTGTTGTGCTGACCTCAGGTGTTGTGGTGACTTACAGGTGTTGTGGTGATCCCCAGGTGTTTTGTGGCCTACAGGTGCTGACCTACAGGTGTTGTGATGACTTACAGGTGTTGTGGTGACCTACAGGTGTTGTGATGACCTACAGGTGCTGACCTACAGGTGTTGTGGTGACCTACAGGTGTTGTGGTGACCTACAGGTGGCCTAGGTGTTGTGTGACCTGGCGTGGTGACCTACAGGTGTTGTGGTGACCTACAGGTGTTGACCTACAGGTGTTGTGGTGACCTACAGGTGTTGACCTGGTGTTGTGGTGACCTAAGTGTTGACCTACAGGTGTTGGTGACCTACAGGTGTTGACCTACAGGTGTTGTGGTGACCTACAGGTGTTGACCTACAGGTGTTGTGGTGACCTACAGGTGACCTACAGGTGTTGTGGTGACCTACAGGTGTTGACCTACAGGTGTTGTGGTGACCTGCTGGGTGTTGACCTACAGGTGTTGTGGTGACCTACAGGTGTTGACCTACAGGTGTTGTGGTGACCTACAGGTGTTGACCTACAGGTGTTGTGGTGACCTACAGGTGTTGACCTACAGGTGTTGTGGTGACCTACAGATGTCAAGAATAAACAATTTACTCCTCATCACCAACAGTAAACAACACTGCCTGTGTGTGTGTGTGTGTGTGTGTGTGTGTGTGTGTGTGTGTGTGTGTGTGTGTGTGTGTGTGGGGGTGTGTGTGTGTGTGTGTGTGTGTGGGGAATGTGTGTGTGTGTGTGTGTGTGTGTGTGTGTGTGTGTGTGTGTGTGTGTGTGTGTGTGTGTGTGTGTTCTCCTTCATTATGTCTCCTTCTCCTCCTTAATGTTTCCTCACCTTTCCTCATTTTTCTGGGCGTTATTCTTTTTGTCTCAACTCGTTTTGTTTTATTTTCCTCTCTCTCTCTCTCTCTCTCTCTCTCTCTCTCTCTCTCCTAATCTTTCTCAGTCTTTATAGAATTCTACTTTACCTCCTTCAGTCAGATGTCTTCAATCTTCCTCACAACCACCCGATCTTCCTCACAACCTTCCAATCAGACTTCCTCACAACACAATCTTCCTCCTAAGCTCCCAATCTTGCTCCCAAACTCCCAAACTTCCTCCCAAACTCCCAATCTTCCTCCCAACCATCCAATCTTCCTCCCCCAAACTTCCGGTCTTCCTCAGGACCTTTTAGAACGCTGCCAACTACCCCCTGGCGGTGTCTCTACTCAGGCCGGGTGGGAGGTGAGCCAGCCGGGGTAAGATCGTGAAATGTCACTTGGAGCTTCAAAGTTTGTGTGACGGAGAGACTGGGGTCAGGGAGAAGCGCTTGTGGTCGACCCCTTCCCTCCCTCCCTCACCCACCCACAAGCACTGTCGTAGGGGGAGGAGAAAGGGAGGGGGTAAGAGAGGGAAGGGGAAGATTGAGGAAGGCGGGGGAGGAAAAAGAGGATAGGATGGAAGGGAAAGAAGGGGAGAAGATAATGGAAAATAGGAAGGAGGGAGAGAGAGAGGGGGAGAGGGTGGAGGGGAAAGGGGGCTAAGTGAGGGAGGGGAGGGGGGGTGCGAGGGAGGTGAGGAGGATCGTAAACACACACACACACACACACACACACACACACACACACACACACACACACACACACACACACAACCATTCAGTGGTAATAATGGGTCCGTGATCCAGTAAAAATGCCTTTCAGTTTTAAGACACATCTTCACTGTATGAGACTGTCAATAACACCTCTTAACCTAACTAAACCTAACCTAACCTAACTTAACCTAACTTATTTCACTGATGATTAAACACCCTAACAGTACCTGGGTGGTTAGGTTAGGTTTGTTGTTTTACTGTTGATCTAGCTTCCTTCTAGAGATATGCGACTAGGAATGAGACGGAGAGAGAGAGAGGAGGAGGGAGAGAAGGAAGGAGGGAGGGAAGGAGGGGAGGAGGAGGGAAGGAGGGAGGAGGAGGGAAGGAGGAGGAGGAAGGAGAGGAGGGAGGAAGGAAGGAGGGAGAAGAAGGAGGAGAAGGAAGGAGGGAGAGGAAGGAGGGGAGGAGGGAGGAAGGAGGAGGGAAGAGGGAAGGAAGGAGGGAAGGAGGGAGGAGGGAAGAAGACATCTACTCCAGTGTACATAGTGAGGACCCCCACGGCTCCCTCAGCTATATTACCATACTGTCCTCCTCCCATGACTGGGGGGTGGGGGGTGAGGGGTGGGGGGTGGGGTGAGGGCGGGGAGTGAGGTGGGGTGGGGGAGGGGGGGTGGGGGTGAGGGGGTGAGGGGTGAGGGTGAGGGGTGGGGGTGGGGGTGGGGGGTGAGGGGTGAGGGGGGGGTGGGGGGTGCAGGGGGTGAGGGTGGGGGTGGGGGGGGGGGGGGTGAGGGGGTGTGGTGGGGTGGGGTGGGGTTGGGGTGAGGTTGGGGTTGGGGTGGGGGTGGGGTTGGGTGAGGGGGTGAGGGTGGGGGTGGAGGTGAGGGTGGGGGGGGTAAGGGGTGGGGTGAGGGTGAGGGTGGGGGTGGGCAGTGGTGAGAGGTGGTGGGGGTGGGGGTGGTGGTGGGGGCAGGTGGTGGTGGTGGTGGTGGTGGTGAGGGGAGTAGTGGTGAGGGCAGTGGCTCTGGGGCTTTTCCACATAAGTTGGTTGACAGATAATGAAGATGTTGTGGGGGAGGGTGGTGATTGACCTGTCTCCCCCACCCCCCTTCCCCCTCACGTCCCTACATGATCTGTCCCCGTCCTCCATCCTCCAACACTCCCTCACCCTCCACCACTCTCCCTCACCCTCAACACTCCTCCCTCACCCTCCAACACTCTCCCTCACCCTCCAACAACTCTCTCTCACCCTCCAACACTCTCCCTCACCCTCCAACACTCTCCCTCACCCTCCAACACTCTCCCTCACCCTCCAACACTCTCCCACACTCTCCTGTTCCGCCTGGCTGGATAGGAGTCACTAGGGTCAGTCAGTCCACACAGCAAGACTCTCTCTCTCTCTCTCTCTCTCTCTCTCTCTCTCTCTCTCTCTCTCTCTGAGACAAAGAACAACAGATAGCCTTTCCCGTGTTCTGATTTTTCTTTTCTTTATTTATTTTTTACTTCTTCCCTCGTCTTATTCACTGTCTAGGGCGAGTTTTTTTTCTTTATTTATTTCGCTTTATAATCTTTCTCTTTCTTTATTTATGTCGCGTTTTTTAATGTTTTTATTTTATTATTATTAGAATTTTTGGATCGTGATTATTTTTTTTTTCTTTGTATTTGTGTATTTTTGGCGCGCTTTTTCCCGTTTGTTTTGGCGCGTTTTTTAATTTATTTTTGGCGCGCTTTTTTATTTATTTTTGGCGCGCTTTATTTCTATTTGTTTTGGGCGCTTCTATTGTTATCCTCCTGGCGTTAGTATCTGAGCACGTTTCTTTATAAGCGGATCATATTTCTGAACTTATGCCGCGTTTTCTATAATATTCCATCATTATTATTTAGTTTCAAGACGAGTTTAAGAGTTCAGATCCTATTTATCACATTCTAAATTATTTCTGTTCTTGTTTAACGCGTTTTCTTGATTTTTCTTAGTTTATTAAATTTCTTTCGTATATAATCTTTCGTTCTCTGAGGCGTCTTTTTGGGGAGTTCTTTTCATCTGTCTCGCTATGCAGGGTTCTCTCTCTCTTTCTCTGTCTGTCTGTCTTTCTGTCTGTCTGTCTCTCTCTCGCTATATCTCCCTCTTTTTTTCGTTATACCGTACAGACTTCACTTATCTCTCTCTCTCTCCCTCTCTTTATCATGAGTTCTCTTTTATCTATGTTCTTATTTATTACCGTCTAAAGGTATCATCATCTCTCTGTTTACTCTTCTCGCTGTCTGGTAAATGGTGATGGGGGGGGGGAGGTGGGGCAGGGTGGGGCAGGGGTGGGGGTGGGCGTGATGGTGGGGGCAGGGGGGTGGGGGTGGGGCGGATGGTGGTGGGGGGTGGGGGTGGGGGTGGGCGTGATGGTGGCGGGGGGGCAGGGGGTGGGGGTGGGCGTGGAGTGGTGGCGGGGCAGGGGGTGGGGTGGGCGTGATGGTGGCGGGGGGCAGGGGGTGGGGGGGTGGGCGATGGTGGCGGGGGCAGGGGTGGGGGGTGGGCGACAGGAGGGCAGGGGGTGGGGGGGTGGGCGATGGTGGCGGGAGTGAGAGAGTCTGGCGGGTTATCTTGCATATATACTGGCGCGGTGTGTGTGTGTGTGTGTGTGTGTGTGTGTGTGTGTGTGTGTGTGTGTGTGTGTGTGTTAAACTTTTGCTCATGAATAAATTATTAATAATAGTAAAGCCGGCAATAATAATAATAATAATAATAATAATAATAATAATAATAATAATAACAGCGCCTCACATTACAAAACATAAGACAAGAAAAAGAAGAACTGGTAAAGAAACAAATAAACAAAATACTTAGATGAGATAAATAATAGAATGAATGAATAAAGAAGAAATGATAAATGAATAAATAAAAGAAACAGTTATTTGTGATGACGTCACTGCCGGGTTGTTGGTATTCTCACCAGGTAGATGATGACGTCACTGCCGGGTTGTTGGTATTCTCACCAGGTAGATGATGACGTCACCCGGGGTTATGGGGGAAGTAGCCTGGATAAAGAGTTATCCCGGGCCACCCGCGGGGTACACCAGTCACCAGCGGGGGGTCCTGCAACGGGTGCCCCACGGGGTACGGCGGGGTTAGCATGGAGTGTCCCACGGGATGGGGGCACAGTCAGCACGGGGTGCCCCGCAGGGTGGGACAGGGCCACCTAAGGGTGTCCCGTGGGGTGGCCAGGGCCAGCCGGAGTGCTCCACGGGGTGGGGCAGGGCCATCACAGGGTGCTCCACGGGATGGGCCAGGGCCATCACAGGGTGCTCCACGGGATGGGCCAGGGCCATCACAGGGTGCTCCACGGGGTGGGGTAGGGCCATCACAGGGTGCTCCACGGGGTGGGCCAGGGCCATCACAGGGTGCTCCACGGGGTGGGCCAGGCCATCACAGGTGCTCCACGGGGTGTAGGCCATCACAGGGTGCTCACGGGTGGGCCAGGGCCATCAAAGGGTGCTCCACGGATGGGCCAGCCATCACAGGTGCTCCACGGGGTGGGGTAGGGCCATCACAGGGCAGTTCACTCTGGATGGGCCAGGGCCATCACAGGGTGCTCCACGGATGGGCCAGGGCCATCACAGGGTGCTCCACGGGGTGGGGTAGGGCCATCACAGGGTGCTCCACGGGGTGGGCCAGGGCCATCAAAGGGTGCTCCACGGGATGGGCCAGGGCCATCACAGGGTGCTCCACAGGATGGGCCAGGGCCATCACGGGGTGCCCCGCGGGGTGGGCCACGGCCATCACGGGGTGCCCCGCGGGGTGGCCAGGGCCAGCCGGAGTGCTCCATGGGGTGGGGCAGGGCCATCACGGGGTCCTCCACGGGATGGACCAGGGCCATCACGGGGTGCTCCCCGCGGGTGGGGCCAGGGCCCACGGGGTGTCTCCGCGGTGGGCCAGGTCCATCACTGGGGTGCTCCACGGATGGGCCAGGGCCATCACGGGGTGCTCCACGGGGCTAGGCCATCACGGGTGCCTGCGGGTGGGCTTCAGGGCCATCACGGGGTGCCCTGCGGGTGGGGGGCCAGATAAGCGGGCCCCATGCTGAGTCAACCATTTATCCTCGACCCGACTGATGACTCGCGCTTTGTCCGCGCCCTGGTTCCCACGCCCACGCCCAGCAGCCACGCCCTTTCTCACGCCCACGCCCCCGTGCTAGACCTGTCTTGTAAAGGCATAAAGGACCAGTGTTCAGGATTTTTCTGTGGAGGTGTTCTGTGTGTGGCCCCACCTGCCCACTACCTTCACTGAGTGTGCTGTAACCCACCACAACTACCAGCTTCCACCTGTGTGTTGTAACCCACCACAACTGGCTCAGCCCACCTGTGTGTTACAACCCACCACAACTACCAGCCCACCTGTGTGTTGTAACCCACCACAACCACAGCCCACCTGTGTGTTGTAACCCACCACATCCACACCCCACCCCTGTGTGTGTTGTAACCCACCACAACCATTACCAGCCCACCTGTGTGTTGTAACCACCACAACTACCAGCTCCACCTGTGTTGTGGTAACTCCACCACAACTACTTTCAGCCCACCTGTGTGTGTTGTAAATCCACCGACAACTGATTAGCCCACCTGTGTGTTGTAACCCACCACAACTACCAGCCCACCTGTGTGTTGTAACCCACCACAACTACCAGCCCACCTGTGTGTTGTAACCCACCACAACTACTAGCCCACCTGTGTGTTGTAACCCACCACAACTACCAGCCCACCTGTGTGTTGTAACCCACCATAAGTACTAGTGATGGGTTAACGACACACGAAATATCCTAGTAGGAGTAATCTACAGAAGACCCCACACTAATGCAAGGAACTTTCTTGATAAATTTTCGGAGCTTATCACTATCATAAGTTCAGAGAGGAAACATTGCTACATTACAGATTTCAACCTTCATGTATTAAAATCAGAAACCGACACCTCAGTATAAGACCTTCTTGCTGCCTGCCATTCTAAACTCTTCTTCAACACTATAACCAAACCCACTAGAGTAACTGCCACCTCTGCCACTGTGATAGATCATATCTGGACTAACAACACTCCTAACAATCTTGCAAGTGGAATTATTTATAACAATATCTCAGATCACTTCCCAGTTTTTGCCATGTATAAAACAGCCACAAGACCTGAAAGGCCTAGTAGAGTCTCGGTACAATACAGAGACTACTGCACCGACAACATGCTCCTTTTTTAAAACAACCTAATGAATGCTAACTGGGATCTTGTCTACGCCTCCGACAACCCTAACGTGAACAGCTGCAACTTCCCTTGCATCTTCAATGCTTGCTTTGATAAATGCTTCCCGCTCAAGACTAAGTCAGTGAAAACTGTATCTATTTCCAAACCCTATGTCACAAGTGGTGTCTTTCCGGATAAACTAAAAATTGCTAAAGTTCACCCAGCATATAAAAAATCTGGAGACAAAGGTCTTTTAAAAAATTACTGCCCTATATCAGTCCTCCCAGCCCTAAGTAAGATACTGGAGAAGCTAGCATGTAGTAGACTAAATTCCTTCTGCAGTGCCAATAACATCTCTACAAACTCTCAGTTTGGATTTAGAGCTAGAAGGTCGACTGAGAGTGCTCTGCTATCCTTTACTAATGACATCTTAAACTCCTTAGATGACAGTCAGTTCACAGTCGGTATATTCTTGGACCTCTCTAAAGCCTTTGATACTGTCAACCATAACATCTTCCTGTCAAAGATTGAACATTACGGCGTTAGGGGCCTGTCCCACAATTGGTTTACCTCATATCTGTCCAACAGGAAGCAGTATGTCGGAGATAATAATCACCAATCTGACTCCTCACTAATCTTGTATGGCGTCCCCCAAGGTTCCATTCTCGGCCTGCACTGTTTTTGTTGTACAGTCGGCCACAAGAATAAGTATACACCTACAGTTGGTGTTTGAGACTTTATATCTGGTAACACTGTCCTCAACACAACAGACAAAATGACCTTTAATTTATGTTTTATTCCTACATATAGTATATGTTATAAATACATTTGATGTGAATATTTTACTAGTGTCTTGTGTTTATATTACAAGTAATATATTGTATCCAATGGTAGTAAACTTGTTGCTGAATGGGATTGCAGTTATCGTACAGCTCCCTCCTCCTCCTCCTCCCCCACTTTC